TGTTTTTATATGGTGTAAGAATTGGAAGTGTACTTAAAGGCATGTATTCACCCTTATCTGATTACCTAGCCAGCATTACATAGAGGTGAATGCATAAATCTATAAAACAGGCTGAATGGCTCACAGCAAATATAGCAGTGGCAATTTTCAATTGTTGCATCTTTGTTTCCCTGCTTGAAACCAGATTTTAGGCCATATAGATTTACAGCAGCTGAATGCAGCTTTATCCAGAAACATAGGCTGTCAGCAATGACCAATGTTCACACATGGTCAGGCTTTGCAGTCTGGAGAAAAGACAGCTCAGAGGGGATGAGGTGTGTAAGGTTTTAAATCGGATTGAAAAAGTAAACTCAGAACAATAGTTTAGGATGCACCAAACAACAAAACAAGAGGACATAGGTTTAGAGTTGTAAATGGCAATTTTGCTCCCTCCACTCAGCAGGCACTGGTCTGCTCCATGTTCACCACCCTTCCCGCCCCTCCACTGGTGGTTAGGCCTTTAGCCTTTCTCTCTTTCCCTCGCCTCCTTCAAGATCCATCTCAATACCTTCCACTTTGACCATACCTTCAGTCATTCCCTCACCCTCTTGCCCTCCACCCCTCTTGATTCCAACCGCCAGCTTGCGTGCAAACCCTTGAAAGTCCACCACATTGGGACATCCTCTCGACACAGCAATGGGCATCCTTCACCACCACCCAGATTTTCTGGGAATTCTCACGGCTTTGGTACAGCCTAGTAGAGCTTGCTCCAAGCAAGATCTGCACAGCTTGTATTGGTAGGAATCTGCATAGCAAATGGAAGTGCAGGGGCAATCCATGCTTCTGGCCAAAGTTTCATCAAAGTGGCACCTAATCACAACACTGTCAGGATCCTTTGGAGTCAACTCAGAGCAATATAGAAACCTATAAGACCTATAAACCTATAAGATCATCAAAGGGCATGACAGAGTAGATAGTGGGAGATTGTGGAGTCCTGTAGCTCAGTGGTTAGAGCACTCGCTTTGCAAGTGAGAGACCTGAGTTCAATTCCAGGCAGAGGGCGAAACCTTGGGCAAGTTTCCTTACTCCACACGCCTAATAATAATCCCTCCAAAAAAAAAAAACAATAATTAAATTGGTCATTTTCAATCTACGACTGTTTGTGGGACATTGCTGTGCGCAATTGGCTGCCGCGTTCGCCCACAAATATACAGTCAATTCACTTTACAGTGTGTTCTGTGAAGCGCTTTGGGACGTCCTCCCGACGTGAAAAGCGCTATACCAAATGCAAGGATTATTATTATTATTATTATTGTTTCCCCTGGTTGGAGAAACTAAAACCACGGGTCACAACCTTAAAATCAGAGTCCAGCCCTTTCACATTGAGTTGAGGAAGAACTTCTTCACTCAAAGGGTGGTGAATGCATGGAACTCGCTACCCGAAAGGGCTGTTGACACTCAGTCCTTGAACATATTCAAGACTGAGATGGATAGATTTCTTATTGCAAAAGGGATTAAGGAATATGAGGATAAGGCAGGGTTATGGTATTAGCTGGAGTTAGATTAGAAGATCAGCCATAATTGAATGGCGGGGCACGCCCGAAGGGCCGAATGGCCTACTCCTGCTCCTACATGTTATGTTATGTTATGTTATGTTATGTTATGTTATGTTATGTTCAGAGGGTAGTTGTAGGTCTACTAATGTGAGCAGACTTCAATTAAACATTACAGTTACCAGGTATTGAGGTTAACTGGGAATACCTGTCTGTGTGTGACTCTGACTTGGTTGAGTCACCTTTGAAATAGGGACTCACGTCAACCAGGTTAGAAGAGAAGCATTGCAAAGTCTAAGGTTTATGTCCCTTCGAATAAAGTGGGCATAAATCTAGGTGGACATAACCTAGTTATTGTAACTAAGGTAGAATTAACCTCAGTGTCTGGATCCTGTACATCATTTAATTCTCTCAATCTGTGTACACCAAAACGTATGACCTTTCTATTCAATCCAAACCTTGTTGTTCTCCACATTTTATTTGAAGGAGTATGTTAAGTCAATCTCAAATGCTTCATTTTTCACTGCTCCCTTTGGGAGAAATAATAGTTTATTCTAATCGCTTAAGCCATGTTGATTTCAAACCCAAGTTTTGTAGTTCAAAGCACACCTACATCATAGCTTCCCTGCCCCAGGCAAGTTTCTGCACAAAACATGATTCAAAAATCTTTCGTGAAGATGTTTGTTTATGAGCCAACTATTGGAAATGAAAATACCATGGTAAGATGGTCTTTTAAATGCATCTTAGAGTTGCTTTTGAGTTATTCAAGTTGAGATAAACAGTTGAAAGAATAAATCGTGAAGCCATGAATTACAATAAACCTTGCGTTTGATATTGCACATTTCTGTCAGAAAGACGGCTCAAAGTGCTTTACAGTATTTACTGAAAAGTGTAGTGTCTGTGATTTGGTAGGCGAACTCAGCAGCAAATTTATACACAGCAACGTGCAAATTCTCTGAAAAGACATGAATGGGCCAAGAGGAGTAACCCTTATATGAATTTACACCAATGTGTTTGCTCTTATTTCTCTCTGGCACAAACATTCGTTGTTACTAAAGGAGGCCAAGATGGAAAACTAAATATTTTCTATCTTGTGTAATAATAATAATCCTTGCATTTGGGACATCCTCCCGACGTGAAAGGCGCTATACAAATGTAATTTTGTTTGTTTGTTGTTTGCATTTGATATATCAATTTGAGCACAGCAATGTGCCACAAACAGCCATGGAGTGAATGATTACATTTTATTTGAATTCTAGTAGCCAGAAGAAACATCAGGAGAAACTCTCTTCTGTTTTCAAAGAGTACCATGGAATCTTTAAAATCCACCAAAACAGAACTGTAGCTATTCCTCGTTTTCACCCTCTCTTCTGTACATATCTGCAATATTTCTGAATATTTCTGAATAGGAAATGTGAGATAGGCTGATGTGTGAAATAAACTGAATTTTGAATTGAGGAATATTGGGTGCAAATTAACCCTACAAGCATCAGTATGTACGAATTGATTCTGGGTATGCCAAGCATTAGAGTCCAGATTTCAGTTAAGCAACCCTATGGCTTGTGTACACTTGAATTTTTTAAAGCTAAATGAACTCCCAAATTATCCTATAAAATAACACTTTAACAATATCATTGACATTAGGTGAACACCACTGAAACACTTAAAGAATAAGAGCAATTTTATTGATTTGTTTAACAACAAGACTTTGAAATATGATATAATCATTTGTTTGGTGATTTTGAAATAAAAAGATATATTATGGTGTAATTTTTTTTAAAAAAGCATGAATTACACATGTTAAATGTACCGTGATCCATTTGGGAATATATATTCTGGGTTGCATAGTATACGGATGTCAATTTCACTTATTAGTGTAACTGAATTACTTTTAAATGAAAGTCAATACACTTTATTTTCATTATATTTTCTTGGAAAAACAACATGTTAGGAATATGTTGCGTTGGCAAGTAATTTGAAACATTTATTTACAAAAATGCAGTTATCAGAAATACAATTGAGATATTAGCGAACAATTGTATATTGAGATAAAATCCTCCAAGTGTTAAAATGCTAAGAGCTCAGTGTGGCACTACCCTGGTCACATACCTTGCCCTTGATCAAAAATCCATTTCTTTTCTTTTGAGAACTAACTCCAAAATTTGAAACTAATAACAGCAATAATCCTTGCATTTGATGCAGGGCCTTTCAAGTCAAGAGGATGCCTCAGGATTTACTGTAAAGTGTAATGATTGTGTTTTTGTAAGTGAAGGCAGCAGATATTTTATGCAGAAAAAGCTATGAAGTGAAAGACCAATTTTATTTGGGGGATTGTTGGCCATGACACCAGGATAAGCTCCCTTCTCTTTTCGAAACGTATTTGTTTCACATGTGGTCTAATGGTCACTCGTGCCCCCTATTTGTCTTGTGCATTCTTGATAATTCAAATTTAGGTGCAGATACAAGCAATGTAGAATTTCACAAATCTTTGTCCTTACACTAAAATCAAAACAATTGTACTAAATACTGTAAAAATACCACTGGCAAAATTAAATTAATTTTAATATAAAAGTAGAGCATGCACCCTATCCAAGCTAATGGAGGATTCTTATTACAAATCTCTGTAACACCTGTCTCAATTTAAAGATACTGAATGTTATGCTAATAAACTCTTATTTGCTATTCCAATAAAATACATATGGGGCAAAATGTAGTGTATGATAATAACACTTGCGATCATATCACATGCTTAATTTTTACTCTTTTGAAATGGTCAATCATTCTAAAATACTCCTTCCCTTTCTGAAAAGCAAATGGGCTTGAGTTTCTCAAAAAATGATATACTTGTATATTTGTTATATATTTGTATATTTGGGGTACATTTCAAGCTCTGAATATACTATTTACATTTGTTTTGTCATTCTGAAATTCAAATGCAAAATGATTATGCATTGCCAAGCTTCTCTTTCAAGTGTTGCATTATAAAATCTGTGGTACCCAATATCTGATCTTAGCATATTTGTGACTAATCTCAAAGGAAGAAACACTATAAGGCAATTTTAACTGGTGGATCTCAGATACCCAGATGAATTAAGTTTGTCAGTTGAAGCTGAAATAATGTGTAGTCTCTTTCTTTAGTGTCACCCTTTCTGCTCTGAACATTTTCATTACTATTACTGTCGTCTGCTACTGTGCATCAAGCAGTTGATTCGAGCTTATTAATTATTGAAAAAAACTTTTATTTCTGTGTGAAAATGCCACATGAGTAAACTACATGTGTTGCTCGTGTAAGCGCTAATATTCTTATGCGCTGACATGCAAATAAATCTTTGTGTCATCCTTTATACCTTAAAGTAACAAGTTTTATATATGAAAACATAGGTTTAACATATATTGATATTTCCATCAGTTATAATATATGTTTTACATTGGTTCTATATTGTTTTATTTTGTTTTATTGTTTGGCACACTGGAGTGAATGCATAAATCATTCAGACAGAATCCACTTTCACTTGATTGTTGTTGGTCATTTGAGGAGAAGGTTTGCTTTTATTTCTGTCGGGTGCATCATTAGAACTCTCTGGAAAGAAAATCCTTGCGGTGCACACTGAGATTATAATTCGTTTGTACTCTCTCCTGAAATTCTGGTTCAAAAGTCCATAGATGATCGCATTAAGGCAGCTGTTGAAGTATGCCATGAAGTAACTGGCTACAAATAGCCATTCTGGAATCCTTGGGGCAATGGTGTCTGGATTGACAGCCACAGCTAGACCAATAAAGTTAAGAGGAGCCCAACAGACTGCAAAGAGCACAAACACCACAAACATTGTCACAAAGTTCCGTAAATCATGAGGCTTGATTTTAGGCCTTGTGTCTGGCTTCACCCGTCTTCTGACTTGTATTACGAGGATCCATATCCTCAAGTAGCAGAAGGTGACGATGCCAATGGGCAGGATGAAATGAAAGAATACCACTGAGATAGTGTAAGCAGAGCTCACGGACTGCACAAATGTGCAGGAGTAGATTCTTGGGTCATACTGCAGTGATTCTACAAACAAATTTGGGACAATGGCTATAAACGTCAGGGCCCAGATGAGGATCACGAAGCACAGGGAGTTCTTGTCACTGTAAAACTTGTCATATTTGAGGCTGTGGCAGATGTAACAATATCGATTGATGGCTATGCCGGTGATATTGAAAATTGATCCGATCACGCTCAGACCCATCAGGAAACCGCTGATTTGGCAGTGCATGTAGCCCAAATTCCAGCCGTTATGAAATATTGATGTCAAGACCATTGGGTATGGGTAGATTGCCACAACTAGATCTGCAACCGCCAGGCTGACCACAAATATATTTCCTGTTCAAAAAAAAGAGAAAGATGTGTAAGCATTCCACATTAACTTTTGCCTAATAATTACCATGCATTTCAGTTATAACTCTGCAAGTTAAAGCAAAACTGTAATTTTAAACAAATTTCAGTAACAATGATCTGATAACAAAATCAACAATGTCTTGCATTTATATACACATAGGATAGCATCTCAGAGCACATTACAGTGCAGAGGATGGATGCCAAGCAAGGGAGAAGGGAGAGGTGACCATAGGCGTGGTTGTAGAGGTAGGTCTTCAGGTGGGATTTAAAAACAGATAAAGACAGGACAAAATGGAGGGATTAAGGCAGGGAGTTCCAGCGATTGTAGCTCTTGTGGCTGAAGACATGGCTACTGATAGAGGAAGAGTTTTGCAGCAGCTGTATTTTGTGGATGATGGAACTGGGCAGACCAGTGAGGAGTATGTTTGAGAAATCAAGGCAGGAGGTGACAAGGGTGTGGATGAGGTTCCAGTGGTAATAGGTGTGAACTAGGATCAGAGATGGACAATGCGGTGATGGAGAAAAACAGCATCTGAATGGGGGCTATATGGAGTAGATTGAAGGTGCATCAGCACATTTGATAGATGCAACTCAATAACAATAATCTTGCATTTGATATAATACTGTTAATGTCAGGAAGACATTGAAAGGCGCTTCACAGGATTTACTGTTAAGTGCAGTAACTCTGTATTTTGTAGGCAAACTCTTACAAAAAATGAAAACATGGTTATTTCTGAAATCCTATTGTCTTCAATCTTTTAAGATACGTAAAAGCTTTTTTGGGGCTTTAATCTATACATATACGTTTTTTGTTTTGGTCAGCTGAGTGTCTGACACATGCAGAAAAGCATTACCATGCTTAAGAGTTTTGAATACATTCAGAGAGCAAGGACTGTAAAGGAACCCAAAAGATTAGAGACATTTTTTGAGGTGTATGTATATTAGTGCACACAGACTTCCCTGATGCATCTATGCCACACATAGCTGAGAGGCGATATACGTCTGTTTACATTTTATTGATAATAATAATTAATATTATAATAATCCTTGAATTTGGTATAGCACCTTTTACGTCATCAGGATGAATCAAAGCACTTCACAGGATAAAGTTAAAGTGCAGACATTGTGTATTTTGTAGGCAGACGACTGCTACACAACCTACCTTTTAAAAAGAAATAAACATGAAGATATGTACTGGGTAATATGATTTTTTGATGAGTTATGCAATATGCATCCATGCAAATATTCCATGAAAATATTTGTGTATGGACAGATTCATAAGTCAGGCATTGAGAGCTGCATGCATGTGGTCGTGGGAGGAGAGAGGATTTGTTGTAAGTCTGTATGCTGTTTATGTTGACAAACATCTAAATTGTGAGAGCTATGACGTTTGATCCTGAGCTGGATTTGGATTGCAGAAACAAATATTCCATCCGGGTTTACATTTACTCTGTGTTCTTAGTATTTTAAAACATGCAAAATTTGATAAATTCTGAAATGCAGGCTTAACTTTGAAGCTAGGGTCTCTCAGTAGTTTGGTTTCATAGAAATATAGAAACATAGCGCACAGAAAAAAGCCATTTGGCCCCATTTTCTTTCCCCATACCCCTGTATAATCTTTATACTTTGAGTTTTAATATACATACACCTCAAAAATACAGTTTCTGCAGTTTAACTTTATCCCGTGAAGTGCTTTGATTCATCTTTATGACGTAAAAGATGCTACACCAAATACAAGGATTATCATAATATTAATTATTATCAATAAAATGTAAACAGACATACATTGCCTCTCAGCTATGTGTGGCATAGATGCATTAGGGAAGCTTGTGTGCCTGAGTGAATAACATGGCAGAATAAATAGTTCTGAGGCTGTGGGCTGAACTAATGTGTCACTGGGCAATGAAGACACGTTGCGTTTTGAGATAAGCTGATTTTTTTTAGAAAACTTGCCAAACTGATGCTTGTCTTTGTCTGATGCTGGGGATAGCTCAACACATCCGCGCAAATGCAGCCATAAAGCTGAACTGTAAAGGCTTGTTGAGAAATTGAATGGATGAATGAGAAAGAAATCGCTGAAAGTTTTTCTGCTATATTTTGCTACAGAAATAACTGATTATTAGGAAATGTAAATAGATCACAAATTCACCTATAAAATACACAGTCACTACCCTTTACTGTAAAATCCTGTGAAATGTTTTGAGACATCTTGACGATGTGTTAAGGTGCTATATCAACTGCAGGAATTATTATGAATTCATTTAATTTTCAAATACATTTTCTGTTAGATTATGTGCAATATCCAGAGAAGTATTAGGTAGAAGTCATAGGTAATCCAAAATAATTTACAATGTTTGTCTATTTCCATGCTGCAGCGTTTATATTGCATTGGATGCGATCACACCAAATTGTGAAGCATTACATTTCAACCTTTCAATAAATATATATCTTCTTATTAATTTTAAATTAGATAGCAATTTATTTTTTGGGTCAGCCGGTGTCTGACACATGCAGAAATCTATCACTAGAGTAGTAGTGCCCAATTATTTTGGTCGGCCAACAAAATAAGTGTTCTTGGTTGAATTTCTGGAAACACACCACCAATCGAACATGGCCCTACCTAGATTAGTGCAAATGTTTGGAGGGCCAGCACTGCGTAAGAGTATCAAAATCAGACTGAGAGTTCTGTGCGCATATGCCCCCTACAGATAGAAATGTCCTTGTGTCTGGAATTCATACTCTCTTGCTGGAGAGGCACATTCCTCTTGCCTAATTCCAGTGAGTATTAAATAAGGGTTCGCAAGAACCAATGCTTGGGGAGCCCAGTGTGTGTGTTAGCGTACTGTTGGAGTTTAAATCCGCATAGCTTGCCATTGAGAGCACTGCCTGACAAGCTTCCCACTGCTTCTCCATCTAAGAGCATACTACCCAACAGGATGGAACAACAACTTGCATTTATATAGTGCCCTTCACAGGGGTAGGGTCCTGGAACCCTTCTGCACAAATTCAGGGGTTATTGTGTCCGCTAAGAACTCAATAACCGATCGACGTAGAGACATGATTTATACCACATCGGAAAGCTCTTGCATGGGGGATTGTCGTGGGTATAATTTTCTCAGGGATCTCCCATCATTGATGAGCTATATTAAAAAAAGGCTTATCACACATGTATGGCAGTTACATGAATATTGCAATTACACCTGGTGGCCGCACCAACTCCCAGTGGCATTGTGGCATTGTGCAGCACAGAGCATGCATGCAGCACACATGCATTCAGACGAAGCCAAGAGGCAGGAACTAGATGGCGGTGGTGAGGTGAAAGTTGCCTCGAGCAGCATTTGACGGCAGTTGTTCGGCTGCTTTTCCTGGGCCGCCCTGGGCTGGGCTGGGCCACGTCGGAGTTGGGCCGGTGGCGGGTGATAGTTGGCTAGGTAAGGCCACAGGGTTTCCGGATTCCTCCAGGCCACGGCCGAGCAGCAACTAGCCGGGGAGGGTGAAGCCTGGGCTCGTGTCGGGGTCTCACCCGGGGCTGGGGTTTAGGCCCTCTCGCTCCCCTTATGTATATAATTCTATATAATAATCTATCTATACTAATAAAGATGAAATGCCTGTCTGTGTGTCAATCTACATTCCATATTGGATCCTTTGGTTGCTGCAACAGCTCGTTCAATACAAGAACATAAAAAGGATGGAGTGAGAACATGTCATTTCTCACATCAAACCCATTGCTTTCACAGACTATTTTCTGAGGAAAGATTTGCACAGACATTTCCTTTAACCCAATGGACACCACACCAACATACCAACTTCTCTACTATTCTCCGATAGTCTCCTTCCACAGTCAACATTTCCCCTTGGCCTCAGGTCTAGCAGCACAGGAGTCATTGTGTCTGTAAATACGTTAAAGAAGAGAGCCAAATATCCATACTATTATTTGGGGCCTCTCCAATTGTAGATATGGAACCAGTGCAGATATCAGAACTTCACAAGACTGTTTGTGTGTGTATTTGTCTCTCTCTTCCTCTATCCGCCTGTGTATGTTTGTCTGCATCGCTCTAATCCTGTACTTGAAAGGATCAGATCTCTCCACCAAACACTCATTTTGAAGTTGATACAACTAAAAATGTGAACTTGAAACACAACAATTATCTTCTGCGATATATAATATGCATGTGCGAGACAAGAAAATGCTGCCAGCATCACAGTCCAACTTCACTTCCACATGAGTAGACATGCAGATAGTTATCATATGGTTACACAGCAATCTATTGTACTCTACATTTCTATTCCCTTTTCAAGCTGATATCGATCTAGTTTTTTTCCCCCAAATAATCAATAGACATAGCATCAATTTTTTTAGTTTTGGCAGTGGTACTGAGGGAAGCTTCTAATCTTTAGATCCACCTAATACTTTTAAAATGTTAAAGCTAAATACATGGATCAGGTCCCCTTTCTGTCTCATTCAAATATGTTACTTTATTTTGAACCATTCCTATGTTTTAATATCTTGCAGAAGCAGGCTGCCAAAACTACATATTACAATTTTAACTTGACTTGTGATCAATATTTATTCTTTGCATTTGTATACTGTTTTATTATGTCGTTGAGATATCTGAAAGTGAAGTTTGGTGACTGTGTATTTGTAGGCGAATGCAGCAGGCAATTTGTGCACAACAAACAATGTTCCACAAGTAGTCATGGAGTAGGAGTGACTAATTGTATTTGGAGGATTGTTAGCCAGGCCACTGGGAAAAACACCCTTTTTTGAATAGTGCTATGGGATCTTTAACATACACTTGAACAGGTAGATGGGGTCTCGGTTTAACTTCGGACCACTTTTTGTATTTGGGGGTATTAATCTTTAATTCAGTTAACCTTTAATTCAAGCATTGAACTTGTATAAACGTGAATTAACTGATGACAAATACTTCTGCCAAGAAAACTGACCTCTTAAGGAAGCTGTGTACATTTAGCTTTGCATAAAG